TTCCCAGTGTTGTTGATGTTGGTTGCTGTTAACACAAACATGTGGAGACTAAACGTTGCCATTTGAGAGGAACAGGTTGTAGTGTGGTTTCCTTTCTGGAGAGGATGTATGCGCAGATCATGAGACCTAAGATAGAACAAAGTATTTTTAATATAGTCAGCTCATCTGAGGTTTTCTTTTTGAGAGGTAGACTTAAGTTCATTTGTTATTCTTTTTTAAGAGATGAGGTCTTGCTCTGTTGCCAGGAATCAGTAAAACTGAGTTTGCCTTTGCCTTGAGTTTCAAATAAATGAACCCATTTTTCACTTTCTCTTGCTTTCATGTCATGTTCATACTCAGGTTTGTCATCGACACAGAGTATCATGATTAGAAGCTGCTGGTCATTCCATGCTGCTCTGCAGCAGAAGAGCTGCCCTGGGTTACACAAAGATGTTTCTTAGCATCTGATCACTGTGAGCTCAGGTCAAGATGTCGTCATGGGTTGGTACCTGTGAAGGGTTGGTTGTTTTGTTTCAATATCTTGACTCTCTCCTCACTGAAAGTGACCTTAGAGACCACCTCACCTAACGCCCCTGCTCTGACACTGACGAATTCAACAGTAAATGTTCAGAGTGTCCACAGCGTGAGGCAGCTGCGAACTAGCTCTAGAACTATTTCAGGTAATGGAAAACCAGGTATTGCTGAACAAGACTCTACTTTTGCTAATTACATACTAGTTTTTTCAATTATCAGAACCAAGGGTCCTGAAAGCCCTTAGAACAGAGGAGCCTGGCTCCTGCTGGGTTCGCTTTCACCACCACTGCTCCAAGGAATGTCCAGTGTCACACCCAGAGCACTCAGCCCAAGTTGACAACCTGTGCATCTGACTTTGGAGTGCCCCTGATGGTGGCAGGAAAACCCTAGCTTTTTATCTCAAGCTGTGTTCCCCTGGTTGGTGGACAAGCTGAGTTCTTCTTAGGTTTCTCTTCCCTTTGGGATGTGTAAGACCAACAACCTATCACTTCCACAGAAGTTGCTCTCTGTTTTCTGTTGGCCAATTCAGAGTCCACACTGCAAAAGCTGCATCAGACCCGTCTGTCCCTCACTGCTCTCACATGCTGCCCCTGCTGTGACAGGGCATCTGCTTGGGAACCTGATGAAGGGATTTATCTCCAGCAACTCTGCTCTCCTAAGAACTGCTGCTCCGGGGTGTTGAGATGTGAAGTTCTCTGCTGTCATTCTGGAGCCCAGGGATGCAGGCAGGTCAGGGACAAGACACGATTGCTACAACTGTGCTGTCAGAAGGGAGCGCTGAGGCACAGGAGGACACGCAGAAGGCACAGACTTGGGGACCAGCTTGCCTGGTCCGGCACCATGCTTACTGCTCCTAAGGGAGGGGACTCTCCTCTGTCTAGGGATGACCTGCCTCACATAGCAGCTGGGACAGCATCTGGCCCTCTTGGTGCCAAAAGAAATCTGAATGCTGACTTGTGTCACACATGTAGGTGCTCAGCTTGAGCCCCACTGAAGTCCTGCTCTTCAAGAGCGTCATCCTATTAGCTCTGCGGCCACACTGCTTCTCATAGGCACCAACGTGTCCACAGCATTGGGGTCTAGCTGCACGTCTGCACACACACTCTCCTAAACGCTATATATATATTAATGGAATAGGCCAGAGAAGTAGTGCCTACAAAATGGCAACTGAGGAACAGCTTGTGTGGAGCTTGTATGATGTCATGTTTAAGGTGTTTCCAGGGTCAGTGCTGCATCTACCTTAGTTCACATAAAATTGTTAAGAATGTTCCTTGGCTCACATTTTAGGAGTATGCCCCTGAGGAACTTTATTTTTAAAGTATATATAAAGGCTTCACCCCAAACTCATCCATTTGTATACAGGCTTGCTTTGGAGACACTGCAAGTTTGGTTCCAGACCACTGCAACCCCATCAATACTGCAGTAAAACGAGTCATACAATTTTTTTGTTTTCCCAGGGCATCTAAAGGTTCACACGTACTCTAGTCTACAAAGTGTGCGATAGGGTCATGTCTGAAAAAAGCACGTACTTTAATACTTCATCCCTTACAAAATATTAATCATCTGAGCCTTCAGCAACTTGTAATCTTTTTGCTGCTGGAGGGTCTTCGGTGATGACAGAACAGAGTGGGGGCTGAAGGCTGGAGTGGCTGAGAGAACGGAGTGGGGGCTGAAGGCTGGAGTGGCTGGTCCTCTTGGTGACACAGTGAAGTCTGCTGCATCTTCTGACTCTTCCTTTCAGAAATATCTATGTAGTGAATCATTTCCAGGTTTTCAATGTGCTTAGCCCAGATCCATAAGAGGAAATCACTGTGCGTGGCAGCTACAGCCTTAGGAAATGTATTCCTAAAATAAAGCTTGAAGGTGAAAATAACTCCTTGATTCGTGGTCTGAAGAATGGATGCTGAAAACAGTAGTGATCTCTATTGGAGCTCTTGGATGACCAGGTACATTGTCAATGAGCAGTAATACAGTAGAACCTCTAAGTTGATGACTCAGGGAACTGTAACAAATTGGTCAACATGGCCACTCAACATAAGGAACTAGGCCTACTATACTCATACGAACATGTGGTGCATGTCTGGTCTATGAAAATCAGGTCAAGTTGAGGTGGTATGGGGAGATGGTCAACTACAGAGGTTCTACATTTTGAAAGGAATCTTTTTTTCTGAATAGTAGGTCTCAACAGTGGGCTTAAAATATTCAGTGAACTGTGCTGTAAACATGTGCACTGTCACTGAGGCTTTGTTGTCTCCTTCATAGAGCATAGGCAGAGTAGATTTAAGATTTTTCAGAATGGTCAAGGAGCACTGGCTTCAACTCAGAGTCACCAGCTGCATTAGTCCCTAAGAAGAGTCAGCCTGTCCTTTCAGACTTTGAAGCTGGGCATTAATGTCTCCTCTCTAGCTAGGAAACCTCTAGTGGGCCACTTCTTCCAAGAGAAGCCTGTTGCATTGACACTGAAAATCTGTTTAGTGTCGGCACCTTCATCAGTGACCTCAGATCTTCTGGATAACCCACTGCAGCTCCCACAGCCACCCTTGCTGCTTCACCTTGCTCTGTTACGGTGTAGAGGTGACTTTTTCCTGAAACTTCATGCACCAGCGTCTCTGACCAGAAGAGATCCGATTTCTCTCCTGCCCCTTCCTCACCTCTCTCAGCCTCATAGACTTAGACAGTTAGGACCTTGCTCTGGATGAGGCTTGGATGTAAGGCCATGTTCTGGTCTCCATATCAGCATGAGGCTGTTTTGCTTATCACTTGTGTGTTCACTGGAGCAGCATTTCCTTCAAGAACTGCTCTGTGTTCACAGCTTACGGACTGGCTTAAAAGGCCTGGCTTTCAGCCTGTCTGGGCTTTCAACTTGTCTTCCTCACTAAGCTTAATCATTTCTAGCTTTTCATTTAAAATCGCGGTTCTCAACCTGTGGGTTACGACCCCTTTGGGAGTCGAATGACCCTTTCACAGGGGTCACCTAACACCATTGGAAAAAATATATTTTTGAAAAACACATATTTTTGCACACATGAAGTACCAACAAAAATAATTTTATGCTTGGGGATCACCACAACATGAGGAACTGTATTAAAGGGTTGCAGAATTAGGAAGTTAAGAACCACTGATCTAAAGAGACAGGGTGGCACCTGTGTCTCAAAGGGGTAGGGCGCTGGCCCCATATGCTGGAGGTGATGGGTTCAAACCCAGCCCCAGCCAAAAACTGCAAAAATAAATAAATAAAGTAAGAGACAGACTCTTCCTTTCGCTTGAACACTTAAGAGGCTTATTATTAATTGGCCTAATTTCAATATTGGTGTGTTTCAGGGAATAGGGAGGCCTTAAGGGAGGGACAGAGATGGGAATGGCTAGTTAGTGAAGCATTCAGAACACACAACATTTATGGATTCAGTTTTCTGTCTTATATGAACACAGTTCATGGTGCCCTAAAACAATTAAAACAGTAACATCAAAGATCACAGATCACCATAAAAGATACAACAATAATGAAAAAATTTAGAATGGAAAAATGGCACCAACTGACTGCTGACTTGACTCAGGGCTGCCACAGACCCTTCAATTTATAAAAAATGCAGTATCCCTGACACTCGGCAAAGCCACATGCAATATCCCTGACACAGTAAAGCATCATGCAATAAAAAAAGGTATGCCTATACATGAAAAATGTGCTGGTTTTCTTGGAATATGAATTATACCTCAATAAAACTACTTGAAAAAACTTTATCCACTTCTACACAATGTCTTCCTATATGTGACTTACATGTTAAAATGTTATTTACTCTTTAATAATTTTAATTTCCTACTTGAGGCTGCTTGATAGCAGAGTCACTTGTGGTGGCCCCATTTTGATTTTCCCAGTGTGGTCCTTAGAGATTGTATTTCTCAGTGACACCTAGCTACTGCTGTTAAAATGCCTTGCCTTCCCAACATAGGTGGTTTGTAACAGCTACTTACCAAACGACATCACACTTTACAATATGAACTCAACACGGAAGGTATGACGGAAAACCACTTTATTTATTCCTAGATAAATATTAAAAGATTTTAATGGAAATTTTAAAATAAAAGATTGTAATGGGAAACATTTAGTACCATATGTCCCCTGAAGGCCACCTGGGCCTCGACTTCTACACGTACAGGAAGCTACCAGGAAGCCCAGTCAATAGACATATTTCTTCATGGTCCTTCAACAGTTCTGCATGTACAAAATTTTCTGCTATTTTGCTTTAGCAAATAGCAACATAATTTAAAACTTTCATGTTTGTTATGTAACACCTAAAATCCAGGCCTATATTTATCAATATAGTTAGAAAAATAAAAGCCCTAAAAATTTCATCGTATGAGTTCATGGTGCTAATCACATAAACTTTTCAAACATAAGATTATTTTTAAAACTCCTACATAATCACTTCTGGTTTAATCTGAAAGGCTTAACACTTGGAATGTAGTAAGACTGTTAAATTAGTGTACATATCAATTATTTGAGTTTGCACTTGCCTTGAGAGATTAAGTCCACTGTCCACTGAAAGAATGCCTTTCAATTATTAATAAATAGCTACAGTATTTACAAGCATCCCTGTATACTCTGATACTGCCAGGAACTTAAGCTGTGAGGAGGAAGCACAGGTATCCCAACAATGTGACTTCATGATGTGTGGGACAAAGGGAACTGGTGCCAGGCCTGGAGGGAGCTGGGGTGTGAGCAGGATGCCCATTCAGATACACACACATGCTTGCAGACACATCAGACGCCAGCTGTGACCGGGCAGACCACAACATTTTTGTTGTTGGGTTAGAAATAAAAGCTGGACAGTAGGAAACCATGACAAAAAGAAACACTGCAAAAGGAGGTTGTTTTATAAGGAGAAAAAAGCAGTTGTGCCTAAAGTCAGAGTATGCTAGGTTTTAAAAAATCATACTCTGCAAGCTGTTAGTGAATTACCCTATGGAAGTTACCTAACTTAAGTGGAGTGTTGAAGGGGTGTGTATGTATCAGATATGGGAGGGTTAAATGCAAGAGTGAGTTTTGGCAAGCAAAAACAATGCTAATTTGATTTTTATAGTTTTAAGCGTGCCGTGTGCTCTTCTTACACTGCTTCATAGACCCTATCCACTTGACTTCTTTAATGCCCTTGGCAAACTCTGTTAGTGCTGTGGAAGAATTTACATTCTAATACTTTGGTAAGAGGGGATCATAATGCCCAAATCATCCCATATAGTCACACAGACCCAAAACAGATGCAGCAAATGACAGAGAGTTTCTAGATATTTGCTTTCTGAAATTCTTAATAGGGGAGTATAGTTTCTTATATTTTTAATAAGAACAGTAATTAGTCAAGTTTAAAAAGCACATTCTCCTAGGTGCTTGCTCATACACATACAGAAATCCCACCCCGCTCTGAGGACCCTTCTAGGTAGGAACTTAAGCAGCTGAAGCCTGGGGCCAGTAAAGGGGGTGAATCCAGACAGTCTCTTAGAAAATTTTATGAGAGTCACCCAATACAATTTTTAAAGCTCTTAAATAGGAGTCTTTAAAATAATTCAAACAAATAATGCTTCTCTAGTAGCCCACTTTTACATGCAAATCCAGACGAATTGTTAACATGCATTATTTTAGTCAATTGGTAAAGTTTATTTCATAAGTGTAAGTAATTTTAAGCCATTTTCTAAATTATAAATTTCAATCCATTAAAAACTACTACCGGAGAAGTCTTGAGGTATTACTGTTACGTTAGTGTGGAAATGTTACATATTTAAACGTGGTGTGAGATGCGACTGCCATGCCTCTCACATGCTGACTGCAGACGTCCCTGTGGCTCTCAGGCATCACTGTGCATGCGCAGTAACTGATTTTCCAGTTGGTACTAGAACTTGATTGGGTGGTCATCTGTAAGCACACCAAAATAATGAACTACAGCCCGTGGTGTGGGCCACGTAAGCTGAGACATCTGAGGTACATACGCACCCTCCAAAGCGCCTTCATCAGAGACCCTACCTATTCACTCACATCATTTACAAGGAAAACTAGTGCAGAAAGCATCTGAAAATTTTGCCTGTCAGCAGGGTGTCTTCTAATTTTAATAAAAGAGCTAGATATTTTTCTTTTAAAATTCATTTATGAAAATACATCTCAGGTGGAGACCTGAGTTATCAAATTGTGGCTTAATTCAGTCATGATGGTTGCACTCTCCTGCAGACACAGGTGAACATGCGAGCTCTGTTGTCCTGCAGTGTGGCCTACGGCTGGTGTCTGAGCTGCCAGGACCCTCTCACAGTTAACCTCTTGACAAGATTTTTAGTCTTCCTTTATCTTGAGACTCCCCAAAACTTTAATTCTTAGACTCTCATTCTAAAACTATTAGCAACTATAATATATTTAAGATAGGGAAGGAAAACCCACCCCTCCTTGGGAGACTCTGATCCACGGCAGCTTAGCAGAAATGGCCACCCATGCGGTGTGCAGCTTGCTCAGATGCTGTGCGCTAGAATGCAGATGTTAATCTCTTGCAGAGCAATAATAATTTCAAAAAAGTTGATAGTATCAGCAAATCCTTTTAGGTTTTGTGTTGTGAGACAATAAACAGCCCAGACCATTTCTAGGCACCTGGTTTGTGGCAGAGCTCTGGATCCCTGTGTAGATGGAGTAGAAACACTGTCACGTGGAAATGCCAATATGACTTACTGCTAAGACTGTGCTAACATCGACACCTCTGTTAGGCCGGTTTCTCAAGGAGAAGCTTTTTGCCTTAGTTAGGAAATTATTTGAGGACCAGTAAATATCTGAACTAAGGAAAAAGTTTCTGACTCCCAGAGCCACACACATAAAATTTTCTAACCACTGTCCTCTCTCACTGCAAATGAGCAGGGGGCTGATCTGTCACATGTCGTCAATCGATATCAACACAGTGTTCAGTCTGTAAGCTAGGCGACGCAGCAAGGGTCTCATTTAATGCAAATTCAGGCCTATGAAATAAAAGCATGGAAGGGAGAGACAGTCTGGTTCAGTGTTCTCACACACTAATGCCAACTCTGGACACAAAAGCAACTGAAAGGCACGGGGCTCAGATCTCACTGATCGTCCTCTCTGAAGGGCAGTACTCGGAAGGGCCTGGTGAGGACATATAGAAAGACTGTGTTTTCCTTTTTAACCGGGCTCTTTTGTTAGCCAACACTAGGCTGCGTCGGCTTGAACTGATGATTTCCGAAATGAACTTTTTGCAGTCCACACACACCTCCATGGTGCTCCAGTCCTCCATCAGCTCTTTGGGAAATTGGAGTTCTTCATCAGATTTATCCACAGACTTAGATTTTGAGGAGAACCTGGGTGAAAGAACCCAAAATATGTCCAGCATCATTACTTATAGATCTACTGTAATACTAAAAAACAGTAAATGTGTTAGGCTGGGTGCAGTGGCTCATGCTGTAATCCCAGCACTCTGGGAGGCTGAGGTGGGTCGATTGCTTGAGCTTAGGTATTTGAGACCAGCCTGAGCAAGAGCAGGACCCTATCTCTACAAAAACAGAAAAGCTAGCCAGATGTCATGGTGAGGGCCTGTAGTCCCAGCTACTGGGGAGGCAGAGGTAAGAGAATCACTTAAGCCCAAGAGTTTGAGGTTGCTGTGAGCTGTGAAGACACTGTTCTCTAACCAGGGCAACAGAGTGAGACTCTGTCTCCACAAAAAAAAAAAAAGAAGAAAGAAAAAAAGTAAACTCGTTGCCTAAACATCATGGAACAGATGAG